AGGAGGTAGAAGAATGATGGAGTGAAGTTGAGCCTTGGGAAAAAGAACCGGGAGAAGGTGTTGGTTTAATTTGTGGGTTTTCTGTTTTTCACTATCCAAATCTATTTTAATTGGCAATAAATTAAATTAATTTTTCTCAAGTCAAGTCTTTTGCCCATGACAGTAATTGGCAAGTGATCTCCCTGTCTTTATCTCAACCCATGAGCTCTTTCATCCTATTTCATCCCCCTGTCCTGTTGACGAGGGGGAGTGAGAGAGTAGCTGGGTGGGCGTCTGGCAGTCAGCCAGCTAAGGTCAACCCACCATAAATATTTGGATGCATATTTTGATGTCCATTTTAGAAGCTTCTAACAAAATCTTTAGCATTGGTATAACTACAGATAGTTAATAGTTGCAAAGAAGGCAAAAGCCAAGCAGTTCTAGAAAGTGAGGCAAACAGGATAGATTACAGCTAACATCAGATGACAGTCTATAACACTTCACTCAAAACTTTTTACTTATTTCATTAAAATCACCATTTGGAAGTTCATTAGGATTTATTTCATTAAGTCCATTTTGACCAATACCCACAAGCTTTCACTGTCAGATGTTTCACTCACTTTAACAATTCATACTTTCTACTATAACTAGCACTATGTAACAGAAGAGTCGTCTTCTAAAGACAAGAGTGGAAGTCTTAAGCAAGAAAGACCTGTGGAAGTCTTAAGCAAGAAAGACCTACCCTCAGTAGAAGAGGAACACATCGGGAACACTTAAACAAACCAGATATACACAAGTCCATAAGGTCTCAGGTGCTGAGAGTCATTTCAAGGCCACTCTCTGTTATCTTCAAAAGATTGTGGCAATTGAGGGAGCCTTCTGAGGACTGAAAGCAAGGAAATATCACTCCTGTCTTCAAGGGTGGCAAGAAAGAACACCTAGAGAACTACAAACCAGTCAGTCTCACCTTAATCCCTGGGAAGGTGATGGAGCGACTAATCTGGAAATCATTTCCAAACTCATGGAGGACAAGAATGTTCTCCATGAGTAGTCAGCATGGATTTATGAAGAGGAAATCATGACTGACCAACCTGCTAACCTTCTACAATGAGGTGACTGGCTCAAAGAATAAGGAGAGAGCAGTGGATATTGTTTATCTTGACTTTAGCAAGGCTTTTAACTCTCTCTCCCATTACATCCTCACAGACAAAATGATGAAACATAGAATAGTTAAGTCAACAGTGAGGTGGGTTGAAAAATGGCTGAATTCCAAGGCTCAAATGATTGTGATCAGCAGCACAAAATCCAGCTGGAGGCCAGTCACCAGGGGTGCCTCCCATAGGTCAATACCGTGGGCAATACTGTTTAACATCTTCATTAATGACCTGGACAATAGGGCAGAGTGCACCCTTAGCAAATTTACAGATGATACAACACTGGAAGGAGCAATACACCAGAAGATTGTGCTGCCTTTCAGATGGACCTCAACAGGCTGGAGAAACTGGCAAACAGGAACCTCATGAAAGTCAATACAAGGCAATGCCGCCAAGCCCTGCACATGGGGAGGAATAAACCCTGGCACGTGGGGGCCAAACAGCTGGATAGCAGCTTTTCAGAAAAGGACCTGAGGTCATGGTGGACCATGAGTTGACCATAAGCCAGCAATAAGCCCTTATGGGAAAGAAGGCCAACAACAATCTGGGTAGCATCAGAGGAGCATTGCCAGCAGGTGGAGGGAACTGAGCCTTCCTCACTACTCAGCACTGGTGAGACAAAACCTGGCATCCTGAGTCCAGTTCTGGACCTACTGGAGCAGTTCTGGAAAAAGGCCACAAAGTTGACTAAGGGATTGGAGCATCTGTCATACTAGGAGAGGCTGAGAGAGATGGGATTGCTAAGCCTCAAAGAGAGAAGGTTCAGGGGGGAAACCTTGTCAATGTGCATAAATGCCCAATGGGGAGTCGGGGGACTAAAGAAGTCAGAACCAGACTCTTCTAACAGTGCCCAGGAACAGGACAAGACACAATGGGCACAAACTGAAATTCAGGAAATGTTGTTTCTACTTATGAAAAAAACTTTTCTACTCTGAGAGTGGTGGAATACTGGCACAGGTTGCCCAGAAAGACTGCAAAGTCTCCGTCCTTGGAGATACTCAAAACCCAAGTGGACATGGCTCTTAGCAACCCACTCTAGTTGACCCTGTTTTGAACCAGGATGTGGGACTAGATGATATCCAGGCAACCCTTCCAGCCTCCACTATTCTTATTTCCTTCTTTTCTGCCAGAATTAATAGTCACAGTACAGTTTTTAAATTAATTTTTAATGTTTTCTTTCCTGTGCGTGAGCTTGACGCGTGAGCTTTATAGATAGATATACAAAAGGCGCACATAAGACCAGTCCATTAGAAAGGAATAAAAGGGATCAAGAAACAAAAAAGGCAATAGATTTAAAGCATACACTAGTAAGCAGTAACCTGAAACCTACTGCAGGACTTAAGGAAGCAGTGTTATCCATTCTCTTCTGAATGTTCAGAGCACAAAATACTTTCCTTACTGATTTTATTACATTGGAGGTGAGACATGCAGCAGCAAACCCAGAGAGGATGCTGTCCCTCACACTAAACAACATGCTGTCTGGTATCAGTCATCACATTTTGGAAGAGAAAGGATTTCCCTTCCTATTGCAGAAGTACAAATTGAGGTTTTAGAATTTTAATACTAAACATTATACTGGTGTGCTAATTCTATACAGAATTGCTCAATCTTTCTTTTTTCTTTTTGCTGTATTGGGAATATTCTTGTCCTTCCAAAAGGCTTTTTTTTTTTCTTGCAAGTTGGCTGGTTAGTCCATGGGAATGGAATCATGAATGCCTTATGCATATTCTTTTATACACACTGTCCCACTGTAAGATTTCACTGACACTAGTGGAACTGTCCCTTATGTTTATAGATACATGGAATTGGAACTGGAACATGAAACCTATACTGAGAATCAACTTCTCTGTTAGCCACTCCTTCAAGCAATATATTGGATTTCAGACAATGACATTCTACTATTTTACTGAAAAATACCTCTTACAGACAACCACCTTTCCTGGAAGTTCAGCAGTTCCTTATGGTGGGCTTCACTGGGAATCCTCGAAGACACGATGGCTCAATAACTCATCCAGTGAACCTCTGAGGAAGGTGTTTATGATATTCCTTACTCCGTTCCAATCCACGTAGCCAGCCAACATATAGGAAAAGTGACTTGCTTAAGATGAACCACTGACTGATTTCAGGTCTAAGCTGTGCTCTTGAATGAGTGAGCTCAGCACTAGCACTCGTAAGTTAAGCAGGTTATACAATTTTGGCCACCAAAGCATGAGAATCTCTGGACAACATTATGGCATCTTTACAGAAAATTAAAATTCAGGTATTTTGGATTGTCGTGTGTGTAAATGAGTCACAAAACAAAGTGACCAACTTTGAAAACATGTAACTTTTAAATCTTCAGGAGAACAAAGACAACCACAAAATGAAAGAAAAAAAAAATTCAACTGTCCTGGATACAGACTGCAAACTTCATAACAATAAATATTTGTAAGAATGGCTGGGAAAATATTTACATCCTTCCATCATTATCAATTGCGCAGTTTTATTTAATAATCAGACTTAGCTCCACAGAACTAAATAAGGCAGTAATCACCATGAGATGATCTGTGCTCCAGAAGGTTAAGTAAACATTGTCAAGAACATAATTCAAATAGTCACAGTGTTGTTGAAGGGGACTTCAGTACATTCATACTTTCTGACACATTTACCAAACTTTAAGAAAAGGCAGACAAACATATTTAAATGTCACTGTTTCTTCAAGTCTTACAGGAACGCAGATATCCTGGGTTTTATATCCAAAATGAACCTCTCTTTATTTTATATAGTATTTCAATATAACAGTAGCTTTCACTTAAGCAATGAGATTTTTGCATCTCTAAACAGAATAAACAAAATACAGAAAACCCCAACCTAACAGTATTTCGTTAAACTAGACCATCTACCTACAAGTAAGAAATAGTTCCCTGAAGACTCTGTCAAGCATTAGAGGAAGTTGCTAGCTCTGAATTTAGTAACTTTCAGAAATTTCCTGAATAGGGAAGCACCCTAATATCCTTGCTTTTCAAAGAGCAACCAACCTTTTCACACAAGCTACATTTCACTTTAAAATTACTGTTTCCGGATTAGACACATTTAACAGGGGCAGCAGATCATTCTTGTGTTAGTAAAGCCATACAACCAGATAAACACTGAGAAAATTGACTCAGTGAATGCTCTTTCCACACAGAATATATAAGGCAATAATATTTAACTTAATTCTTTTGACAATATTTACAGAAAATTTAGGCCTGGACGATGAGACTTGTTCAAAATTCAGCTGCTAACACAGAATGCACATCCAGTAAATCTTTTAAGAGCAGATTGGACTTGTCAGAAATAGCTTTAGGTATACTTTTAACCTGCCTTGAAACTGGGAATGGATTTCATGACTGCCTGCAGTCTCTTCTGGGACATTTTGTATCATAACAGATGATGTATTTCAACAGCTTAAAATAGGAGGGGGTTTTGTTTGCATTTTTTTTAATGCTTATTTAGTACTAAATTAGTACTTTATCTGTTTTAAACTTCCATGACTTTCATAAGAAGGGCTGCTAGATTAGGCTGTAAACCATTATTTACTGAAAAAAGAGTAAAGTTATTTGGAAAAGGGATTACCAGTCAAGTGTTTGTACTCTCAAAAAGATTTAACCTATTTATTTCTTTTCCAGGCTGAATTAAACTATTTTCATGCAAGTAAAGGTTGGTAAAATTAGTCGAGGTAAGATCAAAATATCATCGAAACTAGTTAAAACAATAAAGCACATAATGGTTGTGAAAATTAGAAGCTCTTATCAAAAGACTTCACAATTCTGGAACTGCTATGTAGTACAAAACAGAGAGGTAACTAATGTAATGACCAAGGTGATACAAATATATGTTTCATCTTACTTGTCCAGGGCTGTGCTGGTAGGCATGCTCCGGCCAAATCCTCGGACACCCATCTGACAAAAGTATGGAATGCAAGACAGATTGGCAGCAATTATAGCCAATGAATCTGACGCATTAACAAAGAAACCATTTTGGCCAAGGATCATGTAGCGGTCCTGGAGAAGAAAAGAAATTCAAAAAAACACCTTAAATTCCATGTTTTGGGGAGCGGTAACTTCTTCTATTAGATCCACTGTGAGTAGGGAAAAAAAGAACAGGCTTTGGGTTACTCGCATCCCTCTTCAGGCAGACTAATTTACTGGTATCATCCCGACAGGTTTATAATCTCGCTATCACACCATCACTCCCTCCAGCCTTGCAAATCAAAGCTCCAGATCAGTCCCTAGCTTCAGGCTCCTACGCGACACTTCAGTAGGTCTGTTCCTGCCACAGAATGCTTGTGTAGGAGAACCTTTTTGCCAATGACGTGCAAAATACAGGCAGTAGGAGGGTGTTTTGTGTTTACTGACAATAGAAAACGCCCTCTGTTCTTCAGAACCTTTTCATCTTTCACCCACCCTGTCAGGACAGAAAGTTGTTTCTGTAATACTTTGCTGTTTATAATGCTGGTAATATGACATAAAAAAAATTAAAACAAACAGAGATTATGATTCAGTGCTTTATTTAGCTAAAAATCCCTCAACTTACATTGTTAACCAAAAAGGCCTTAGCTTAGTAACAACTACTTATCGTGACAAGTCCGTAATACCTATATATGCTGTCTCTTCCTAACCAGGGAATAAAAGTGTTATACCAGTACAAGATAAAACCAGCCTAATATTTAAAGCATTCTGATTCTGCATTCAAATCCTGCTTCATTTGCAGTCATTTGCAGAGACAAATTACAACATATGTGTCTGATTTATGGGTTGCAAATGCTATCATCTGTACCTGAAAGTAATATTGCTTTCAGCTTCGAGGGCATACTGAAAAGCAAATAAATTATACTTACATGTCCCATATCCGACCCCAGACAAAACAACTATGGTGAAACTTTCAGACAGATCAAAATACTTACTCCATCAGCATCAAAAGCAGCTCCAAATCCATACTCGCCACCTCTCATAGCCTCCAGCAAGGCAGTTGCATACGTTAAATTGGGATCAGGAGGCTGTCCACCAAAATCCTCCAGAGGAACACAGTTTATTGCAGAATTTGCAGGAGCTCCCAATTCATCACACAGGATTCTTCTCACATAAGGTCCCATAACTGCAAAAACAGAAATCTGCCATGCAATCACAAAAGCATATGCTTGACATTCAAATTTTTCACAGCACCGTAGAGACCTGATACAAAACATATTTTTAGCAATTCTATACATCTGTCCTAGCAACAAAAAATAAACTATTATTTCACAGAGGAATATGTGATTGTCCCCCCAGTAAATAATCAATGGACAATTCAGCATTAAAAACACAGTTCCCCATTAGTTGAAGTGAAAAAGTAATCACTGAATGGTGAAAGATGCAAGTTTTATTTATCCATTATTAAGTAAAGAAGTTATCATCCACATGGCGGGGGTTTCTCACTGGAATAAAAATAAAATGCTATTCTATGTGTCCTGGAACACAAACAACAGTTTAACACATAATAACAAGGAAAGTAAACAGTAGGGGAATACAAATGGGAAATAAACTTACCTCAACGTTCCAATTCATGTTAACATTACAACAGGTTTGTCCACCAAAGAATCTTACCACATTTTCATTACTACCATGTAGATAATAAATAAAAACTTTCTCAAAACTAACTCCAAAATAACTCCTTTATTTTGTAAAAGATATGGCCAATTATGACCCCAGCTCATACTATTATATATCATAATTATTATATGCATCCGGTGGCTGAACAGACACTAACAACTGAGTTCTCTGCATCCCTGAGGCAGCTCTGAACAGGTCACTCGGAGGTAAAAAAAATAGATTGCTTGCTCTCTCGTGCTCTCTCTTTCTCCTACCTTACTCCCAAATCTTGCTAACTGGAGCAACTGTAACCCAAGGTAAAACTATGTGAGAAACTTGTGTTCAAGAAAATTTAGATGCTAATTCTGTAAAATATACAGTAAACAATGATTCAGGTTCTTATCAAGAGTAGACTCCTGACAAATTACTCTTTTCTATGCCAATATTAAACTATCAATGTCTACAGGCATAAAAGCATATTCCAGAGGTGCAGAGCTAAAACAAACTTTGGAAGACAGTTTGTCCACGTACGCATGCGGTCCTCTCTAATGTTCACTATATTGTGGCTGGTTACTCACTTTTGGCTAATGCATCTCATCCAGAAAGTCTTTTGATCTGATGCCACCAAGAGAAGGACAAACCCCAACCATCTTTGGTAGGTTGCTCCAGTAGTTATTCACTGTTACCCATAAACACGTGAGCTACACTTCAACTTGATTTTGTCTGGCCTCAAATTCTCACTATTGATTGTTCTGGGTATTTTGGGGAATAGAAGACTGAGAAATAATTTTTCTGCAGAGAAAAAAAAAACTTTCTGTGTTGTATAAACAAATATTCTTGTATACAAGAATACTGTATGTGTACTGTATATATACTGTATGTGTACAATGTATTATGGTACGGCTATTTCTCCACCAAGATACAAAGTCAATAAAGCTAGTTCTCTATCACCTTGTACATAAAGTAAACAAACTCAGTCCTTTAAAATTTTCGTACTGCAGCAGTTTTTCTAACCCTGAGCCAGACTATGCATCTTTTTGACCACGTGTAAAACTTTTCAACACTCCATAACAGGTCTGGACATCAGAGCCCTACAAACTATTTGAGTAACATTCTCTCTAGTACTGTATGTGACAGGAGGCAGTGTCTTCCTCATTGCTCCCTCTGCACTGCTCAAGGACACCATCTGCCCTTTTGCCACAGCCTGGCAAAACTGGGTGTTCACACTGACTGTATGCCCACTATAATCTTTTGCCACAGCCTGTGAACTGGGTGTTAACACTGACTGTATGCCCACTATGATCTTCTGAACAGTGACTATCACACTGTACTTGATAAAATGTTTTACAAAAGCTTTGTAAGTCTATCCAGCTCCCTTTATTGCTCTATTTTTGTAATCCCATTAAAGAATGAAACCTGGTTTGTTTGATGCAATTTCTTTTCTATACGATAACATTGAACAGCATTACTTACACTCCTATCCTTCAAGTCATTATCTGAGGAAATCTTTATTTATTTTTTCATGATGTAGCCTAAGATAGATCTCCTACTGATCTATATTTCCCCAAGTGACACAGCTTTTAATTTTTTAATATTGGCACAAAATTGGTCCCCTTGCTGTCTTCTCTGACACTTTCTTTCATCTTGCCCCCAGTACACTGAAATTTTTTAAGAGTTAACATTAGTGAGACAGAGATCTCAGTCAACTCTTTAAGGACTCTCGGGTGCAATTTATTCAGACTTAACCAATTTTATACCATTTAGAATTTACTCTTAGTAGAGGCTGCCTTGTAACCTCCTTGGTTACTGCACACTGCAACATACTTCATCACCCTCTCATGGCAAGATTACCTCATCCTGCTTGCTTCCAAATGCAAAAAGAGAACATTTATTGGACACATATGCTTTCACTTTTTTATCAAGAAAGATAAATCTCTTTGCCTAATAAGGGACCTAACCCTCTGTTAAGATTGATTGCCTTTGTTACCAGTATAATGTTCAAATCCTTTCTTATTACCCTTAACCTGACTAAAAAATCTGACTTTTAGATGCTGTACCTTTATCGGGAAACTATTGCAGTGTACCATCTTTACTGGGAAGCTATTGCATGTAGTGTACCTACAATTTTGTCCTGATAGCAACTGAAGTTCATACCTCCATTCATGGCATCAATCCTTATTTTAATCTGGTTGGGTCCGGTCAGCAAATTTCTGATCGCACTGAAGTCAAAAATACTTCGAAGGAGATTGAGGTAGATATCCACAGAATCCACAATTTCCACTAGAAAAATTAGGTAGAAAAAAAATCACTACAGTTCACACATGCGAAAAGATCTCTTTCAGCAGACTTGCACCAGCCATGCACCTCAACTAAAATCAGTATGTGCAACCTCTACATAATATGGCTTTGCTCTGAAGCCTATAGAGGCAAAGTCAAAGACTTCCACTGATTTCAGTGTGGCTACCATCAAGCTTTAAGCCTTGCAGAGACCAACAGTTTTGCCTACTAAAGGAGCAGATGTACAGAGATAATGTAAATTGACATTCATGAGAGTACATTATATCAAAGAAAACTATTTATCATTCACTAAATCACTGAATAACTTTTCAAACTAAACAGGTTTACTCTCAGAGGATGGAAGATATCCATGCCGAGTTGAAGTCACCCGTTCTATTCTTCTATCTGACAGCAGTATCTATCTGCATCATTCCATCAGGAGAGACATACAGCCTATTCTTCTCAGTTTTGGGACCTAGAATATCTGTCTCCAGTTTATTGTCAATCTACCACTATAATTTTGCATTTTGTATCTCACTGATTTAGGAAAGTTAGGCTCAGACACAACATCTGGTTTTTGCTAAGATCTTGCTAATTTGAATTCTAAATTCATAAAAGCAGAGAGCTACAATTTTTCTAGCTCTTTTGGATGTAAAATATTAAACTAAAATGAATTAATGAAAGTAAGTCTGTCATAGCAAAAGCAGTTACCAAACAACTGTCAAAAGCCACGCTTCTCAGTCATCTTGGAACATACTACTTTTCCTGATTAAATTAAAAAGCATATGTTATACAAATGTCTTTTTATCTGGTCAAATGAGTATCTTGAAATATTTTAGTTACAAGTTAAATTATTACTTAGAATATCAGCCAGTTTACCTCAGAAACACTGACCTCACCCTAATGCTCTTCTTTAGGATAACATGAAAATGACACAGATGTTTTTTGAGCCTGAGAAAAACGCTTAGAATAGATTGCGACAATACACGTGAATGGAGAAACAAAAAAAAGGTTCTCAAGGATGAAAAACAACCTGTAAAACCTATCTGAAAATGGTTTAATTCTATGGCATATGTTGAAAGTCTCAAGGATTCACTAAAATTACGTTACTGCTCATCTTCTATGCCCTGCTCCTAATGATGTTTAAGTAGCCTTTAAGCTTTACACATATGAACAAATGCCTCAACTTCAGTGGAGTTGCTCACACATGTTAAGATAAAGTGCATGTAGGATTAAAGTCTAAAAATTATTTTAGCTCCTGCCAAAGCCAACTGGTTTACTCTCAGTTGCTTCAACACCTCTGTAGCCTTTATTCACAGGAATTAGTTCATACAGCTGAAAAAGTAGAAGTTTTAAATACATCAGAAAGTATATTAAATTACTTTTTAAATTATTTTCATTCTTTCTGCACTTCATTCTGCATTCAGACCTGTGGAAACTATACTTATTCATGCACTTGTAAGCCAATTACATTGCTTCAGTAGGGATCCCTGGCAGCTCTACTGTCCCAGGATGATGTATTCTGGGAAGAGATAACTGGGAAATGATTTTTCCTTAGAAAAACATTCAGACAAATTCCAATTATTTTTAATCTATTTTTACACTACCTGTAGGGGAGGAGGGGTGTCTCGTTCTCATTTAGAAAAATACAATTTGGAGAGATTAAAAAGTTGAAAAAGCAAAATTTAAAACTGTGGCAATCATATGATTCCAGAGTGGTGCTAGAGCTGAATTTTCTTTGCTTTTTGTTTCCCTAAAAAGCCAAACATGTTCTTTACAATCAAAAAAATCATAATTTAAGCTTTTTTTAATCAAAAGCTTTATTTATCAAAATGTACTTTGCTCAAAATATAATGTGTTAATTAACTTTAATTCTAGGACATCATGAATGAGGAAGTTCTTGAGGCCACACAGAGTTTTACAGTATTTGAGTTATTGCCTGGACCCCTTCCTTTGCTTCTGACTACTTCAGGACAAAATGGCTGTTAGCTCATTTAAAGCAAGTGTAGGCATAAAAGTATTCACATGCCTAAAATTAAACATGTGCTTAAGCACTCCCTTTACATTTGGAGACACTGGATGTTATAGTGCCTTACACATCCCACAACTTTTCAGAAAAGAACAAAGAATAAACTGAGACTCTCACAAACTCTTTTATCAATTAGACTTCCATGAGCAAACCATTCCTGGTCCAAAAATGTTTGTGTTTGGTGTTTAACTACTAGCAAGCCTAAACACATATATTTGGCAAAGGTACTTGGCTAAATGATGAGGCCTGATGCACTTAAAATGCTTTCACTTTAACTCAGCTTCCTTATGTGCAAAACAAACGCAACACTTACCTATACTGCCTAGTATTTTGAGAACTTGTCGTAATGCATTTTGAAGAATTAAAGTTCTGTTTAAATAATTACCCATTATCATTCTGCAGCAGTTCTAATATTTAGAATCAATGGATGTAGCATGCATAAAAGCACACATTGATACCTCGGAAAGGTTTGAATTTGTTCTCCAGATCAAATTCTTGTCTTCCTAGGCGTGATAAATCAACTCTGAGATCAGGACAAATGGCATATTCCTCCAAGGTTTTGCTGATTTGATAGATTTTATCTGAAACTGTATCTGGAGATGGTCCTAAATGAAAAAAGAATGTGGCGGGTCATTTTTTTTAAATGAAGGTTCCCTAGTTAAAAAGTGAGTGCTACAGCAAACATTTTTCTGAATATATTGGAGTTATTAAGGAATAAACTCAAACAAAAAACTATAGTAAATAAGGTCTTTTCTTTCAGTGTAACACAGGTTTAAAACATTTTTTGAAAAAATATAACATGGAAATACAGTGCATTACCCACAACATTTTGATTCACATAGAGTATATTTAAATCAGTCATTATCTAGGGCAGGGGGGATGAGGCAACCAAAAAACTCACAGCCATCTTTCTTTGGGTTTATTGCTCAAAGACTGCCATTTTTCACTCTACATGGAATCGCAACATATATACTAAAGAAAGCCTGTCCTTCAGCAGCAGTTTCTGGTGTTTCACGGGGCTTTCTGCAAATGCACATTTGTGAAGGTGAGATAGCTTTGTGTTTCACATTATTTCACTAGACATAATTATCATTTTAAAAAGTCTTACCAGTTTAACAGTGGTGTTCTCTTGCAGTTTTCCTCCAATGGCTTAATGAAATGTAGCTTTGTTAGAATTCAAAATACCTTAATTGCTTAACTAGCAATTATGACCTGGAACAGTTATGTCACTCAGAAACAGAAATCACATCTTACCTGTGCATTACTTTTATTGCCAAATCCTGAAGATAGACTCTATTTTCAAAGATTTACTGTCAATCAAATAAAAGTTGCAGGCTTGACGCAAAAATTACCAGACGAGCTATGCCATATGTAGTGCAAGAGTGAGTCTGAGTTACAAAAAAAGTCCTTTCTGGCTTATCTGACTCTTGATTGCTTACATTAAAGCAACACTTCCGCTGTGAAAAATTACTTCCTTTATTCTCTTTTACATGCTCTCTCTCCTAATCCAAAGCCTCTGTCTTTTCAGTGCTAACTTCCCACTCCTTTAGCAATGCTGCTATTTTCAGTGCATCTTTGCCACGTAAATTAGTGTGTTCCATCTCAGGTGCAGTGTACCAGATGGTCCAAGGCAATACAACAAGTAACAGTCACTTAACTCTTCATTTGGCTTAGAAAATTACTTCTTATTCATCTAATCCAAACCCATCCAAAGAGTGAGGACAGGTTTCATTAGCTCCAGATCATCCCTCATAGATGGATGTATTGTCTACTGATATTTTCAGCTAAGGAGATCCCACAGTGTTGCTCTGCGTTCTCTCCTACAGCTACAGAAGCAAGCTGCTTCTGCCCGACCTGGATCTGCAAGATAGACTGAGCGAGAATGTAGAGCAAAAACAGCCTTCCCTAGGAGCTTGTCGTGGTGCCTAACCATTCTCTTGGTTCAAAAGCCTTGCCTAATACTTAACCCACCTTTTCTCAGCTGCAACTTGAACCAACTACTTTTCATTACATCCCTGCTGATTATCGTAAATGATTGAACCTTGTGACCTGTGCTTGAGGAGTGTTTCATATTTAAAGCTTAATAGCCCGTTTGAATTTTCTTTAAAAAGGCAAAGTACACTAAAAAGAATGCCCCATCAACCGTTACCCATTTATCAAACAGATTTTAGGTGTACATGGTGTTTTAAAGTTTATGGAGTGCTAATGCATCTAATGGTTTGGCTCTGGTATGTTTGTGCTGTGACCCTGGCTTTCTCAGTGTCTGACCTTACACAGTCCCTTTAATCTCTCTGGGATTCAAGCCTATTCTGTTTATAAAATCACACTGGTTTAACCGTGCACATTTTTCAGTTAAACACGGGACAAGGAAGAAGCATCCCCTTCTCAAGTTCTCCCACCTTCAAAATGGCGAAGGAAACATTATTTTAAAAGCATTTTCATTTTTTTCAGGTGGAAAGCACTCTACATGTGTGAGGTATACAAGGTGTCAGCAATTGTCACCATCATGTTTTATGGGTGTACACAGATCTGTAACATAAAACATACATAAGGTATAACATACCTACATGTGTCAGCTTGCCAATTTTGGAAAACAAGACATTAGCTATATACACAAATTCCATTATTCAACAGTGGAATTGCAATAGTTACAATGGTACAACCCTCTCCTTAGATAAGAGCAATTACTTCCTGGTAAACATGAGAAGTGCTTTCTTCCATACAAGACAATGAGTTATACTGCTTATAGCACTTGTGAAATTACACGCTTTGAAATAAATGCTAAGACAAGCAACACAAAAATATGAGAAAAACAGAGGTCCCTCATAGGCATCTTTACAAAAGGATCAGAACTGTTACAATGATCTGGCAGACTACATAAAATGCCACAAAAATGGGATGGCAAACCTCTTGTTTATAGAAATCTTACAGCTACCACAAGGACTTCAGTGAACATTTAATGCTTATTGTACAGACCCATGTAAACAAATACACTCCTATTACTGAAAAAAGAGATATGCATATATTCTCCATTGTTTTAACAGAATAAATGAAAAACACTAGTGAAAGTCAGCTAGTTATCCTTGTCAGCATATATTCATCATTCCGAGATGCAATGCTATAATGTGTTATTAAAAAAAAACCTACCTCCATTGGCAACCTCAAACTTGACTCCAAACTCTCCTCCTGGTCCCCCAGGACTGTGGCTAGCTGTTAGAATAATTCCACCAGCTGCTTTGATCTTTCGGATGATACATGAAACAGCAGGTGTGGATAAGATACCATTCTGTCCAATAACCAATCTGCCGATCTAGGTAGAAAAGGAAGTCAAAGTACTCTGAATGGTACTAAACTTTTGAAAATTATTAAATAAACACACACACACATACATATTAGTACCCATGTATAGGATAGATATTGTAAAGTCCTAGGATGGAACCTATTCTTTTGCAGTGAAACACAGGTACATGAGTTGGTCGCATGCTAATCTGGAGTGCTGACAAAAAATATTGTATCCTGACACATTTAATCCCAATGGCCTGTGTACTGACAGTAAAGCAAGAGCACAAGAGCACAGCCATGGCAGTGATTTGCAAAGCTCCCAAGCATAGCACTGGGCTCTGGTCCTGCTCAAACTTTTCCAGGTATCCCCACGAACCAGCAAATCCCCTCAAATATCAATATAGTTTAGGGCTGACTGTGTGGATGCAGTTTGCAGGGTTGGAGCTTTAACTAGCATAAAAGCAGCAAACTACCTTTCATGGAGCAGCCTTTCAGTGCAATCACAAATATCGCTACATCCTAGGACCTGTAGTCTCTGCAAGTCACATCTCTATCACCAAGACACCCGTGGACGCCCTGCCCTATAGAAAGTATTGTTCCTCCTCCAGCCATCAGAGACTCCTTGGCTATTCCTGATGAAGAGGGTGTGTTTCCCAGGGCACAGCTGAGCAGTGGAAGTTCCCACCATTCTTAAAGTAAAAAAAACTTTCAGGTGGTGTTATTAAACACTGACTCAATGTGTTTGGTATTACGTGCAGTTCCACTGCAAGGTTCCAATTTCAAAACCTTGCCTTCATCCCCTACACAGATACTACAGTTTCAGCTCAACATAAATAATCTAGGAGCCAACCAGAAATGTATTTACAAAGAAAGATGAAAGAGTTCCAGTTCCTGGGAAACAGGCAGATACAAAAATGGAGGGGAGAAGGGGAGGTTAATGTCACAAATGAGAACTGAGGCAGCTGCATATGGAGCTTAAAAGGATATTGCCAAAGTTTGGGGTTTTTCAATACCCTCACTTAAAAAAAAAAAACAAACCACCCACCCACCACTATTGAGTAGTAGTTTGGGAAGGGGCAGGGAGAGGCAGAATACCGAATCCTTCCCACTACCCATCTAAAAGCAGACTGGAAGTTCAACCTCAGATTTCCTTCCCTAGTTTGAGGGAGATTTGATAGCTCTACATGGCTCTGCAATAGCACAGGAGGTATCACTGCCCGCCTCCTTTCTATAAAGAGCTGTTCCTTCATATACAGATGACCACCTTCTGGGTCCAGCACTTGTGTGAGGCCTTTAATGGTTATTTAGAAGTGGGGTTCCAAATAATTTCAGAAAAGCAAAGGATTCACAGATTATTTATTTAGCCTGGTTTTGTGAACTATTTTAATAAAAAAAATAAAGATTTCTACATTGGAATGATCAACTTCTAAAGTAAGCACAAGTTACTTTTTTGCTAACCCTCACAAAGCACAAACTATGGTTAGCCATTTCTCTTTCACTGAGAATTACAAGATCTGCTTTCAAATTTTAAAAGATGTGCAGAACAATGCATTCTATTAACTGAGATTTCTACCTCAAGATCTGATGATAGGATGGTTGTTTGTCTACCTGGTTCTCTTTTCACAGTTCTTGTAGATATTTTTGAAGCTATGGATTGTTGCTAGAAAAGAGGAAAGCTATCAAAATTATAAACACAGTTCATAGAAAATCTTCAAGGTTCATTTCACTTGCTCTTGCTACTATTGGGGAAAATGTTTTGTTTCACTGTCTTTTTTTCTCCCAGGTTGGAACAATTCTGAAGGAAATGAAAAAAGAAAAAGTTAAGAAACAAAAAATCTTGGTTTCTCATTTTTCTACTGTAACGAAAATATTTTCCAGGGAAAACAAGTATGCTTTCCAGGAGAAAAAATGCAAATCAGCAGAATCCACATTTTCTGTTTCAACAGATTATTTCAAAGCAGCGCTTCCACTGACATGGTCAGTTGGTGAGGGTGCAGTGTGTACTCAGTTGACACATACACTACACAACTGAACCTATTTTCTGCTCACTTCAGTGGTATTGAACAATTTTATTTCCTATTTAAGCCTAACAATACAGTTTCATCAACCTACGATTGAATGATTAAGAGCAATACCATCTTCATTATTATAGAACCTGATGCCAACTATAACATAAATAACTTTGATTATTTGTGGAACAAAACATACCAGTGAATAGAGTTTTCCCTGAAGAACAGATTAAATGTTATACTTTTGCACTGTGACAGCATTTACTTGCAAGACTCTGTATCACTCTCTGACTTCATGTCTCTCCTGCCTTCCCACTCTTGCTTCTCCCTGAAGGTAAAACTAAGCAGTAATTTACAGCACGTGTATTTGTAAATCTCTCAATTTATCATAATTTACAGACCTTAGGAGCAACAGTAAAGGCATATTACCTCCACTCCTAGCTCCAAGCCAAGTGAAGCAGCTGATTAAATGCTATTTCACTGATTACAGAACAAAATTGGTATGTCTCTTACTGATCAGCCTTCTCCACATTTACGCAGTTTTCTTCCCATCTTTTAAAACTCTTAAATCTCCAGATGCTACATTTACATTTTATTTGTTCAACTGTTTCGAATACTAAACTACTTCAAAAATACTTTCTATACAGCCCTACTTGTTACCACAGAAATGCAATTCCTACATTGTAGAACAAGGAAGACGGTTTTTTTAAAGCAGAAGCGTTTCCAGTCGTTGTGGGCTGACAACTGACAGACACACTTTTACCTCAGAAAATGTGTAGGGTAAAACTCCGTCTATCAGAAATCACTAGAAGCTCTAGCACATGCTTTGACACACTTCTAGAATCAAGCTCAAGCAAGAAAACTTTCCATTAGCTACACAATTTACTGTTTTATTTAAACCAATGCCATGTAAATAATTTGAAAGAGAAATAGAGATTTTTTTCAAATTGTTCTGAATTTGCGTGTGTCCTTTTATGGCTTCTTTCAGTCCATGAAGCAGCTTTTGGACAACATGCCATGTCTTGCAAGACTGTTGTATTTATGCTGTCATTTAACCACTATTGCCAATTGTACCGAAGCATTAGAAAAAACACAGAACATTGGGAAATAGACTTTAACAAACTCTCTTCCAGTCTACACAAGTCTACCCATGTACCTTTATTATGGAAAGAAAAACATGATGAAAATAAATACTGAAAATGTTTGTTTTGAATAGCGTCTCTCCCTTTTTTAAACTATGAAGCATGTAGAAAGCTAGAGCAATGACTCAATCTTCCAAATACAGCTGTCAGAAGTGGGTGCCAGCTCTTAAAACAGTATTGTGTATGGGTAAGCAAAAGGAAGATGACAGGAATTACATTTTGCAAAATGCTGGAAAACAACAACACTGAATCTGTCTTGAGGTACTCAAGTATAAATGCATTTGTACTTGCATACAGGCTTATCATGAGCACATGTTCTCTGTACTTCTAAATCTAAACTAGTGAGGCTTAGATTTTTGCCGTCATGCACACCGAAACTGTTTTTTTAAAGTAAGTAGAATACTTAGCTTATTCAGAATGCACAAATAACCTGGCACTATTTCTTCACCATTTTTTTCCTGTTCAACAGATGTTGCACAAACCAGTTTTCCCATTTTTCTGGATGTAGAAATATTATTTATTATACTGCTTTCTATACTGCAATATTTAGTATTCTAAATTAAGGATGTTGAAAGTGGAATTACATGAATGATACCCAGATATTTTATTTGCAGTGACTACTGCAAAGAGCTTCACCTTATGTGAGGGTCTTCCGTGCTTTTACGAAACTCCCTGAGGACAGTGCAGACCTTAGAAGTGTACACATGCTACCCATCTTCCTCTGCTCTCTTCATTTCGGTGTCAAGAATGCACAACCTCATCCTCTCTTGGCCCAGAAGGTATTCATTTTGTCTCTGAACCAAATACTAAATTGACATTTAATTAATTTTAAGTAATGAACACTCAGGCTTCTCGCTATCTGGGCTAAAACAGTAACCAAACAACGTCCATGTACTGACTCACAATTAAAGTTCCAGTTATATCCTTCTGAAAATCTTGGACAGTTTCATAGCATGGAAAGATTATCTTTGGAATTTAAAAACTTGCATGGCTACGAGATCACAAGCATGTAATGTCTCTTCTAATACTGTGCCCCTACGCCACGTTCTATTTTGCACTCTGCTTTTAGTAGCAACAGCAGAAACAAAGACCATGATCCTCAGCAAACTGTTACAGCTGAAAGAATAGTCCCCCCTAACAAGTACTTTACAAGAACATTTTTATGCAATATTACCACTTGCAGCTGTGCATTTTCAGACGATTCAGTTGATTATCATGGAGTCACTTAATGCTTTTTTTTATTATTTTTCCCAGTAATCTCTCACATGCCTCAGTCAATTAAACTTGAAAGAACATGAAGCAAGCATTGTATCCTAAACAGCAGGGGACTGTGCCTTCCTATCTTTTACTATAGTATTCTAAAGATGACTGAGTGCCACACTCAACAGAGAAGCAAATATATCAATCATACAGGTCCAGGGAGGAAGGGCAAGATTTGCATGGAAGACCATGGAAAATAAAAACAAGATGGTATTATAAAGAAGAGAACTGCAAAACTCTCTGCCATCTCAAACTTCTACAGCATTGCTATCAATACTCTGTGATCTCTCTAGGATGTTGCTATGACTTTTCACGTTCAGAGTATGATCATCAGCTTCTGGTCTGCCACCGAGACTCACACACAGCAGCTTCTCATTTAAACCTATCCTAAAATTTGCATCAAAAATGAGACACCACATCCAGTTGATGGGTCTACTTGCATTTAATTTGTAGTGGAACTGTACTATAAATGATGGAGCCTTTTACCTCAGTTCTTCCAGTCATTAAGGTGCAAGGACACTACTACTGACAGGACACAGGTGAAAAGGGAAATAGAGCCTCAGACACTTTCCTACCACCCCGCTTTGCAAAACTGCTCGTTGCAACCCAGAACGGTA